CTTTCAATGCAACTGATTTCTAGGAAAACCCTGAAGTCTCAGAAACGACAACTTGAAGATGAATTTGCAGAGAAAAGTACTTTTTTTTTTGACCATTGCATGGAGTCTTTTTGACTCTGGACTAACCAGGGGTGTGGTTCTAACAATAAATTCACTTACACCTGATCCAGATCTGTCCTTTGGATTCCAAGTTTTCTCCCATCTCAGTTCCTGATCTGTCACTAGAACTGGCTATTCTGTGGCTGGTCATGCCATTTCCTAGGACAGCACCTATGTAATATTTATAATTGGTACAAAATTATCATTAGAGAAACAATTTAGTCTGTCATCTCTTAGCACAAATGAAACTTCACCTTGGCTCTTAGTTGGAAACTTTTTTCCATGAGAAATAGCTTTGAATGTCTAGCTAATTTAGGCAGAAAGAAACAGCATTTTATGTATTTCTTCAAAATTCCTTTTGAGTTGATGAAATAATAGCTTGTTATTCTTCTTACCAGAATGGAAGGATTCACGCCTTGTGCAGTTAATTTTTCTGGAAGAGGAGTTACATTTATTAATGAACTTTGTTGCATGAAAGGCACTGATCGAACTCTATTGTACTGTTACATAGCTGGTTTCAACAGAATTGCTGTGCCTTTATGTATATAAATCTTGTACCTTTGTGATTTTCTTTCAGAAGGAGTCTTTGAAAGGTGAGTAAACTTAATAATTAAGATGGTTTTACAAAATGCTGTGGTGAAACCTCTCTGTACACTTGATGGGACTCAGTGCTGAAGTGGAGAGATGCACTCATTCAGAAATGCAACTTGTGCACTTGAAAAAAGAACATTTGCCTGAAGCAACATTTGTATATATTTTACAGTACTTCTTAATGGAAGATAACTGCATAATTGTATTGTTTGCTAAGATGCAACTGATCACATTGATAAACTAAATCTAAATATTAGTTTTGAGAACAATTTTGGATCATAAATGATAACTACTTGTATAAACACTATAATAAAAGTGTTCTGATTCTCTGAAGGGTTTTCTATGGTCTCTGAACTGCATCAACACAATTCTAGCTTTAAGTGGAATATGCATTGTGCTAAGTAATAAAAACTGTTGGTACAGGAAATAGACAAAATGAGAATGCAGTTCCCAGTTATTACTTCCTAGATGGTGTGATGCTCCTCAGCCTTGACTCTGCTGGAAATATTTACCCCTCAGTGTTGATTTAGTGGTGCTGCTCATTGAACAGAAACAACAATCATCTTGGCTTTAAAAAGAGAAAATCAAAATACCTCCTAAAAGCAAAACCAGTAAAACTGGGGGGAAACAAACCTCATAAAGAGACTTTACAGTTAGGCAAAGTATAGCAGGAAACCTCAGTAAATCTGCTGTTGTTGCACCATCTACTGTTTAGGACTGAAGTCAGCAAAGAGAACTCAAAGGAGAGCCTTCCTTGGGCTTTAGGCCTAGAATTGCAGGTATTCTTTCTCTTTCAAAGAAATAATGCAAAACTCAGTCTGTCAGGTAGTGGGTAGGAATGTGTAAGTGAATATATTGCATATATCCAGTATGGGGTGATTTTTTTTTACAAGTTATTTTGTAAAAATCAAATAAAAGGCTTTTTATCCCACAATGACTTTGTCCTTTGTAGGGTTAGTCTTACCCATCTGTCTCTTACTGGGCTTTCTTTGTGAGCTCTGATAAATATTGTTTTGACTTGCTTTGATAAAGCACCATCATATTTATTGCTCATGGGCCTTTGCTCCAGTCAATATTCAGTAAAGACTTGTTCAAGTGTGTGTTCCCTTGTCTGAAACCTCATGCCCAAGTACTGCTCTGTGGTACTGAAAGAAATAATGGGAACACAGGGATAAAATGTTAGTGGTTGTTTGTAGTTTGGTTGAACACCAAGGCTTGTGTCCTTTCTGAATGAGGTGTGCAGTTTATCCTTTTAATACCTGTCAAAATTGGGCATAATTCCATAATGAGTTATTTTCTCTGGGTCCTTGAGGAGCAGGAAGAAGGGTATTGCTTTTTTGGTGCCATTTGGACTGCTGAACTAGGCCTGGTGTCAGTATCAATCCCTTGGTTTGCTACGAGTTACCATTTCAACCCTGCAGCTCTAACCTGTGTAAAAATCTTTGGGTAGCAGGGTGAGAAATGCTCTATGTGTCTGCAATTATGGTCAGTATGCTAGATCAGTCAAAAAAATTGCACCTCCTGCTCAGATATAAATTCCTTTTAAATCACATTGAGTGATTTAAAAAAACCCAATAAAACCCCTCAATCTTTATCCCTCCTTTATCCTTGCAAACACCTAAACAGGAACTGGATCTGAGTCTCCATCTGGGAGCAATGATGTAGTTGTTCACACACCTAAAAATGGCTCTACCCAGAGTCCTATTCCTCAAATGCCTAGAGGCAATTCCCAGGGGAGCAATGAGAACACAATGAACATCGATGATGCTTTTTCCCTTAATACTCTTCCAATCTCTGTTTCAAAAATAAAGTACATTCAGAGCCCTGTGCAAATTCTACTACACACACCAGCTTTAATTGGCTTTCTCATCTGAGAACTCATCCATACAAAGGAACTTCTGGCACCCACATGTTTTCCTTCCAAAGATACTTTTTCCCAAGCGTGTTAAAAACCACCACTTTGGTTTCTTTTAACTTCTTTCCATTTTCCATCTTCCTGTGTTTACTCCTAGTTCTTATATTTGGTGAACAGCTTTCCTCCACCAGCTTTTTAGTACAGTCCATAACTGAGCAGACTCTATAGCACCCAGTGCACACACATTAAGTCTAGCAGAGAGTAACTTCAAGTTATTCACCTTACCTTTGCTCAGCAGCTTGGCCTGTTCTTGGTCAGTTGTGCCCCTCACATGAGGGCATCACAGTTCTGCAGAGACAGCTGAACCTCAGATTTAAACGTCATGATAATGCCTTGTTTTGCTCTCTAGTGTGGTTTCAACAGCCTGCCTAAAGTTAGCATGGGAAAAGAAGAGCAAGAAAACCCACAAATATTTCAAAAACAGCACAGCATAGCTTGGCTGAATGGCTAACTGAACTGCAGGTTTATAGAGCTACTCCTTGGAAATCCTGCCTTATATTCAGGTTGGGCTCCCCCCACCCCAATCAAGAGTAATTGATGGCAATTAAGTTGTTCCTAGTGAAGAAAAAAAGAATTGCCACTTTCTCTTAAGTAAAGCTCCAGCTGCAGCAGTTGAAATTTATTTTGTCCAGCTTTTCTTCTTTAAATAATTTAATTTGTATTTATGTGGCAGCATAAATACAAGCAGGTGTGCTTAATTTATGGCTGCTTTCTTGCCCTTTTGTCATTCCTTTGCAAGACGATTTTGTTATATGTCACCTTTAATTTTATTTTATTCTGTTGCTGCAATTAGCTTTCACTTGTGAGACTTTCTGAGGGGCAAGAGACCACCACATTACAGTGAAGCTGCTCTGGAACTATCTGTTTAGAGCATTTTAAAATACATTTCAGCATGACACACAGCTAAAAAAAGAGTAAAGTGTTACCGAAACAGAACTACAAACCATTGCCTGGAGTGCCAAAAGTATAGGAATACTTTATTGGATGAGGAGGTTGGGGAGTACAGGCTGATAGCATTTCTAGGAAGTGTTTTATAATTAAGAAAATAATTTAGAATATAAATACAGATTTTATATACCAGATAGTGATGTCAACATAACATTTGACCACATCACATGAAAGGAACACCAATGCATGCCACCACTTTTGCTGAGTGCTGATCCTCTCAGCTGAAACTTTTTTTGTAAAGTTCATGACCTGCTGATAACCTGTGGTGGATAAAAGTGTGCATCTTGGTCTCTGCTATAGTGGGTGAGCTATGCTAGTGATGAAAGCAGCCTGAAAGGAGTACATGGCCACAGTTTCTCCCCTTTGAGTGATTAAATTGAACTTTTCTTCTCAGTTCAGAGCTTAGAGTGGTGCATTCATGCATAAAAATGTATTTTTTTAGAAATCCAGGAGCCTGATTTCCATTGCTGAATATGCTTACAGTCACTGTAATAAGTATCAGAGATAATTTAATGTACACTGGAGAGTGAGCACTTAACTTGTACATGCTGCTCCTAAGTGGTCTTGAACATTAAACTCCTTTGGCTTTCTGTGGGCCTATTATATAGACATTTTCTAAATCATCGGGTTTGTTTTATGGAAAAATAAAATGTATCTGGCCAGTATTACTTGCGTGTACTCACTTAATTTCAGTCCTGGGAAAACAGTCAAAATACTTACATGGTAATGGGCTAATTCCCATAACAGTTAGCAGGGCTGATGAGATGGCTGGATAATCTATCCCTGGTGAGTACTACAGTCATTAATTCAGTTTTCTCAGTGCCTGCCTGATAGGTGGGGCTCTGGCACTGATATTCTTTCCCCTCGATTATCTCTAGGCTAGAAGATGACAAATAAGGGATTATTTTCAATTAGTGGGGTGTAATAGAGGGGGAATGTGCAGTGCAATAAATTCTTTTTTTGTATACTTTTTAGCTTAACACACCAGCTTTTGTGTAAGTAAGTCTACACATGGTTTTAATCAGAAGAAAGTATAATGCAGAGAAAGATCAATGTAATAAAACCCCTAATAACTATTTTTCTTCCCCTCAGGCCACAAAGTCCTAAGGTCAGATAAACTGTGTTCCTGTTTGTCTAGCTAAGCCTACCCAAACCAAACTTTGAGGCACATAACAAATTAGCAAGAATTACCTTTGATAACAAGCATTATCCAAGCCACTTCTACTTGACAGCGGTTCGAGGCAGTCTCAGTCTGCTGGGCTGAGACAGAGTGTGCAGTAGGAGCAGCGTGACAACTCTGTCCTGGTGAGCTCACAGTGCCTCAATTAATGACAGCAAAATCCTTCCCATGCTACAGCTGCTGCTAGCATGTAGGAGGAACGAGCGCTTTACTGATTTTTCTCTTTCCTTTTTTATAACAATACAGTATTTACAATATTTTCAAAAAGCAAAACAGAAATCCACATCTGTACATGGAAAAGCTTCACCGGCATTCATGGTGCTCCTTGATAATAGAACTGAAGGCGTTCTGGTGTAAACTGGTCTTCACTCTTTTTTCCCTTTGTCTTCTGTTGCAAAACCAAACTCTCACGACTTCTTTCTCAAGATTGAGCCCCTCAGCCATCCTCATAATTTCCTGAGAAGACGGCTTACTTTGTTCTCCAAAGTGCCTCTCCAGGGCTTCTTTGGCAGCGATGCTGGATACAGGGGTAAAAATTCACCTTTAAAAACTTTTCTGTACATTCAGGCTTTCGCCACTAGTTCAAGAAAAAGATCAAGTAACAACACTGAAGGCAGTGACTTGGTTTATTTCATCTTTATGTAAAAGGAACCCAAAGCACTAAAAATACTCTGTAGTTCTCTGCTGACACAAGCAGCGTGACATCATACAGAATTTTGGCATGAGGTGATTAAAAGGCAAAAAAGCATCGAGTTCAGAGCAATTTCAATGTTAATTACAAAATATTGGTGCTTCTCCTAGATATTATCTAGGAGGCACAGCTACTAACTAGTTATGAGTGGGGTCACAGGAACTGGAACAAGCCTGACCACCCTTCTGCCCCAGGAAATGCACATCAGTGGTGTTACCTGGTTGTATCAAATAATTTGGGTTTACAGAGAGGAAGAGCTCTATCACGTAGATTTGGGAAATACTGTGTTTTGCATCTCACTAATTATAGAGACAGCACTAGAGTATTCCTAGAAATCACAGAGATTATGTCCAGCTGCTTTAGCCATCATTACATTCTCCAAGTGTCTGCTCTCATCCGTTCCTCAGAGTCAGCAGTGACCAAAACTGAGTGGTTCACTAAACAGAATAATTTAATACTCATTTTTTCTTATTTCCAGATAGAATTTGCTTCCAATTTCTGTTACATACTCTAAAAAACCCACATATGTGACATGCTTGTGTGCCACTGGGAGGCATCCAGAAGTTTCAGCAGTAGCTGTAATTTCTTTGGACACAAGAGGGCACTTCATGCATTATTCTGGAAGTGAAGTGCAGGTATTTGCTACAGAAATACAGTATCTGCTTGAGTTCTAGTCCTTTCATCTCCTGGTCTTTCATTTACAGGTCAGTTTTTCAATATTTACTACTGTTTAACAAAACTGGCTAATTAATAGCATAGTGTTCTGCACATACAGAAGAATAGAAACATCATTACTTTTGACTAGCAACTTCATAGGTTTTGAGCAGAGTATGAAATATAATACTTTGGAATTAATTGGGGGTCTGGAGGGTTATGCTGGGTTATTTTCACTAGAATATTTCCAAATATTGGAACTTTTAGAAGCCCAAGATGTAGATATTCATTAATCAAAAAGAGCACTTAAATTTTGATGGAAGAAAAAGAAGCATTTTAGCCAAAATTGTTCCTAACCTGTAATAATGTAAATATTTATTACCTTATGGTGGTTCTGCGCTTCCTCTTCCGTTCATTCAACCCAACCTTTTCATTGTACAAAGCTGTATTAAAAAAAGAAGAAGCAGCCAAACAACAAAAGCTGGCAGTTACATTCCACAGGGACTGGAAAACAAGAACAATCATTTCCAGAAAAATAGTCACTGTGTTTGAAAGAAGAAGAAAGTACAAGAGAAAGTGCTGCTGAATAAGAGGAGAATCAGACACAGGATCTTTCCATTGTTAGGATGGCTGGTCACTGTTTTACCTCCAACTATAAACGGTTATAGGCAGAAATAGTTAGAAGCAAAAGGACTTTGCTAGTGAAAAATCCCCATACACTGTTAAATGGGCTGTCCTGCAGATCCTACTCTGGCTCTCTACAGGACTGGAATTAGTTTGCTGGGATGGGACTGGAAGAAATTTCTTCCAGCAGCTCAGGAGATGTTACTGCTATTCTGTATACTCCATGCACTTCAGTTTTCCCTCCATGCTCATCCAAAATTAAGATTACTATACTTTAACACAAACACACCACAGCATTTAAAGCTGGTAAAACAAAATCTTTAGTCCTCAGAAGACATATAATAGCCCTAAAACATTTCTATGGGATTCTGCTTGAAGTGCAAATCACTATTTAGAGGATTTCAGTTTCTCTACCTCCCACTTGTTCTGCTTCCTCCAGCCACTTGGACAGGATGGATTTCAGTTTGCACGCATTCTTGAAGCTCAGCTGCAAGTTCTCAAAGCGGCAAATCGTCGTCTGGCTGAACTCGGAGCCGTGCACAGCAGCCAGGGCTTCTCCAACGTTGGTTTGTGTATAACCTGCCAGAAACAAAGGGAAAAGCAACTTTGAAGCTTTCTAGGAGGGTTACTTTCCTTGAGATGCTCACCCTCCGCTGCTGGCTCTCGTGGACAGTGTGTGCTGCAGTGCCTTCAGGCTGAGCTTCCTGCAGCGGTCCCTGTGGCCAGCGGAGCTCACCTCAGAGCTGTGCTCAGTCTCCTGGTGGTCTCTGTGGAGTGTGACACTGATTTAGTGGAGTTTCACACTCTATTAGGGAATTGAGAAGGATCCAGACACAGTATGTCTTTCTGTAGATGGTGCAAGAGCAGTAAGTGAATTGCCAGAGGCACTGCTGCTCTCCTGTCACTTGTTGCAACAGCTAAGCTGAAGTCCTCAGAGAAATGCTGCAGTTTCCATGCAGACTCTGACTTTGCTTCAACAGCTTCCTGCTCATTTCTCTGAATTTGGATCTGCTGTGGCTGGGGGACTGGATCATCATCCTCCTTTTCTGCTTTGGTGCCAGGACAAGGCAGGATCTCTTCAGGCACTCAGTGTCCCATCAGGCACCTTTTAAACTCCTTTTTGACTGCACTAACCCGGTGTCTCTCAGACCCACAACCTGTTTTCTCTTGTAAAGCTCAAACTCAGATTATTTTTCCTGTGCATATTGCATTTCTCCCATTCTACAGGCTCCATGTAATTTGCTTACACCAAAGGAAGTTTTGTTCCCTCAAAAATTCAGGATGAAGATGCAGCGATTAACTATGTGTGGCCTTCCATCGCTGTGGCTGACATCAAATAGAAGATATACAGGAAAATTGGCCAGTTTGCATATAATTTTTAAACCCTAATTTCTTTTATTTCTGTTTAGATTGCAAATGGAACATACTGGCTTGCTAGCTCTTGAGATAATGCACATACCCCATATAAACTTATAATTTTTTTAGATTTATAAAATAAAAGAATTCCCTATAGTTCTGATGCAATATTATAAGTGATAATGCCAAGGAGGACAGGGCTCAGCCCACCTTTGTCCTCAGCAGTTATCTCACAGCAACAAAGATATCAGTTGCTTCCCAACTGTGTCATGGCACAAAAAAACAAACCAGAAAGAGAAGCTTCCTACTGGAGTGAAGGATTTCCATGGATGTCATTCAGTGTATACTGAAATGACAGCAGACCATCAGATGAAACACAATGGGGAAAAGAATAGGTATGGGAGGTTAGATGGTTATGAGAGCTACCTGCCCTTAGTTGCAGATAATTTGGAGCTGTGCAAAATATTGCACCTGACACTGAAAGTAAGTTACTGAACAGAAAAAAATTTCTATGCATTTGACACAAATAATTTAAGGGCAGGAAAGTTTAAAGCCCATTTTTGCAAACTAAAAGCTGACATTAATTCCATGCAAGCCTTCTAGGAACGGAGAAAGTTTTGCAGGGCAAGGCAGGATTAGAGTTATGCTCAGACAACAGCAGAGGCCAGACCATAAAACACTCAGAAAGAATTGGGCTTTCACTGGAATCTTCCAGCCTTTTGTTCGTGGACATGAAGCACATACCCAGCTTGATTCTCCGCAGCTTAAACTCGTTGGCGAATTTCTCCAGCTCCCTGATTTCAGGGGAGTCCATGTCCACGGGCTCCTCCACGGGCTTGCTCTTCCTGCGGAACTCCTGCTTGAAGTCGGTGGCGGTGGGCTCGTCCGTCAGGAGGGGCTGGGGCAGGGCCGTGAAGCCGTGGCCCAGGGCACAGGAGCCGGCGCCCAGCGCGTGCTCCGGGAACTTGTACAGGCAAGGGGTCAGACCACCTGGGCGACGCCAAAGGGAAAGCTCATTGCAGTCACCCTCTGCCTTGTATCCCTGCAATTTTTATTATATAATACACCTGAGAGAATCCAGGAGTTAGAATTTCCTAGGATGTGTTTTCTCTTTTTTGCCCCAGTATATGGAAACCTATCAACAACCCCTTTCACCAGCCACAGGCGTCCTGACACTTAGCAAACTGTGAAGTACTTAAATAAAAGGCCTAAACTTATATAAATAAAAATCCATGCTCTAAGCTGGACTTAACTGGCACAACAAGATCAATGGATCTGTGTCATTTTGAGTCACTTAAAATTTGCCCATCTCTACTTTCTGGTACAAAGAATACTTCCATGTAGATGCCATTTGATGCTCAGACAAGGCACTATCTTGTCTTAGCTGCAGCATAGAATTTTCTTGAGGAAAGTAGACAGGTAAGATCTCAAAGGAAGAAAAAACAAACCAGAACTCATTCAGAATGATCCTCCAAAAATGAAATTGCTCAAGGATAAAACAGAACTATCTTTCACTACCTTTTGTTCCCAAATGTCAGACTTAACAAAGAGATGCAGTTAAAAGTGAAGGCTGATTTTTCCCTAGATATTGTATGTAGAGCTAAAAAGTCTCTGACCCGATGGAGGCATGGAGGGAATTACTGGAGAAATATTAATGCTCCTCTGTGTATCTGGAGCAGCCAGTAAATTCCAGGTTCTCAGGTCATCCTTCCCAATTTTCTAAACTACACAAAACTTGTAGAAGAACTCAGAACTTCATTAACCTCCCCACTTCTTCCTCCATTTATTAGGGCTAGGTTTTTCTTCACTGCCCAAATTACTTCCATCAGTCTTGGAGGTTCTAACCCCATAGAACTATTTTATACACTTCACATAGGACAACCACCAAAAAAAAAAATCCCAAAAAATAATGAAAAAATCTTTAAAAGAGGGGGACTTGCTTTGCAAGGTGCTGACACCATTTACCACATTGGGGTGGGGCATGCTGCATGTCTGTAAGATGCGAGTCTGGGAGAGACTTGCTGAGAGCATCTCTGGAGTTGCAGGCTTGATGCCTAAGAAAATAAAATAAGAAAAGAAGATGGAAATAAAAAGAAGAAGAAAGGAGAAGAGTACAAATGTATTTATTTTTTAATTAAAGAAAACTGATTTCTGAGCAATATAATTTATTATTACTTCTTAAAATCCTCCAGGGACCTGGACAATGCCAATGTTTGCAAGACACAGACATGCATCATGAAATACAAAAATTTGGAAATTTGCACACCATTAAGGTGTGAACATGGGGACACTCTGTCCCCATGCAGACATATTAGTCCATGTTGATTTTCTCTAGTATTTCTTTAATTCTTAAATGAAATAAAATTCTGAGTTTGATTTTGGATTATTTTCAAGTCCCAGTTATTTCCTGGGAGTTATGCTAACTTGGTTCATGCCGTTATCTCATTGATTGCTGCTTAAACTTGCACAGAATAAAAGTGAGCCTTACTTTTACTGGGCCTGGGACAGGGAAGAATGAGCAGGATGCATTAATGAGTGTAAAAACCAATGATCACATGGCTGATCTGCCTGCTGAATTCACCTATCCCTTCATTTGACATAATTTTATTTTATAGCTTCAGCCAGGGCTTCATCAACCCAGGTACTGGTCACACACAAGTGTGGTGTGTATGTCACTTCTGGCCCCTCAAAAAGTGATAATCACCAGGAGACGTGGCCAGAGGAATGCAAAAAGAGCAGGACTTTCCCAGCCTTGTAGGGAGACATAAGGTACAGAATGATTCACAAGAGATGCAGAGGTTTGGGACACTCTGGGCACTAATTTCCTAACGCTTTTTCTAACACCTTAATCCAAATCCCATCACCTTCTTTAAACGATTGTCTTGGATTGGTCCCTCTAAAGGAAAACTGGCTAAGATCCACATGCTGCCAGCCCATCCAGCTGAGGGCTGGCCTCTTACCTGTCATCACCCCGTAGGTGGAAGGCTGATTCCCATAGTGACAGGAGGGCACGGAGTAGTGCAGGCCTGGCCAAGGGCGTCGCGGCGTTGTCGCGGCAAAGCCGACGCACCAACACGCACGGGTTGGGAGCAGAGAGAAAACAGACAGGACTCATAAGAACTCAAGATTCAAGACAGAGCCTTCAAGTTCGAGGCAGGCAATGCCTTCTGTGCAGTTGTAGCTTCCTCTGTGAGCGTTCAACACAGGACCACAGGCATCAGGTTAACAGGGAGAACTGCCACTAGAACTAGGGGGACATCCTGTGAGGCAGGACAGGAATTGCCGTGCTGCTTTTGGTGTAATCTATGGGCATAATCCAGTTTGTGCAAACTGCTGAGCAGGGGAAGCATTGCACGCTTCAGGAGACCTGTTTCCTCACACAGCTTCCGCAGGCTGATTCATTCTATCTCACACAAAAACTAATTCTATGGTCTCAGGAAAGTGCCTTCCCTGTCGAGCAAACTCTGCAGCAAATGAAGGCCTGGGTTTCCAAAGGCAGCAGTTTGGGACATTTGCTTTGATGTGTTCAAAACCCACAATTTCTTGCGTGCCAAGCAATTTCAGAGTGCTTTGGCAAGGTGGTCGAGAAACAAGATGGTAAATTCTGGATTCTTCTAACAAGTCAGGCCTAAGTAAACATTTTCCATCACCAGCACCAACAAACACATTTAATTTGTCTCTAGTGTTTTCACAGGGGTATTTCGGGTCTGTGCTCAGTAATAGCCAGTGCCTGAAGAATGAGACCATTTTTTGCTAAATGCAGTATAGAGATATGTCTGTTTCTCATGTATAAATATAAATAAAAATGCATGTACTGCCCTCTCTAACAACTGCAATAAAACAGAATATTAAAAATTAATGCTCATGAACATTCAGATACGTAAAACCACATTTTAAAGAACACATTCCTGTTGTTCAAAACAGTCTATTTAATTAGGGATTAGAATCTTTGAGTTTTACAACAGTAATCATAACAGTAAAGTGTCCTATTTAAATATACTTGTACAGATATAAAATCTACTAAGATAAACATGCTTATACTAATGTAGATGCAGTGAAAATAAAATTGTATTAATAACTGCAATGCATGCACAGCAATTCAACTTTTCTGTCAAGATCTGAGCCTTTATAAGTTGCATTTTTCCACTATTTCTTAATCCACATACTATAAACTTTATAAATTAAAATACAATTTTTGATTTGCTAATAACGATTTAAAATTAAATAGTGAGGATGATGCTATTTAAATGAAATAATAGCAGTTAAAGTGTTGAGCATACTGCAGAGCATCAGCTAAATGACACAATGTAGTACTTGAACAGAAGTATTTTTACCTTTCTTGTGATGAAGAATTGTTACATCCATTTTTAAAACTTTTGACATTTAAAATGAATTCTTTCACTATTATATTTTACACAAATTCTCCTCATGTGCACTCAAAGTGGCACTTTTTATGAGAATTCCTTAATCTATGTATGAAATTTGTAAATCTTGACTCATTGTAGTTACCACCATTCTGTTTCTGCCTTCCCAGGGTCATTTTTTTCACAGGATCATCTTCTGGATGTGATCCTGCAATCAAAATTTCCACTGTCTGCAGTGACATTTGTCCTTGGGTGGCAAATACAAAATACCAAAACCTAAAACTGCAGCAGGTGAGCAGATCCTTTGGGCCAGCCCTCATCGTGAACCTAGAAAATACTGCTGGGATACAGACACATAAATCTGACCTCATACAAAATTTAAATTCTCCTATTCCCTGCCACTATTGCTAACCCACAGCTGTACTGGGATATTTTGAGCCTCTTGCTTAATGTATAAGATGATCCTATTTTCTGTTACCAAAAATCCATTTTCACTACATACATGTTTTTTCTTTTCATTAAAATGCTTTATTACCAATGCTTTTCAGGAAAAATCCGCTTTCTTGTTAAGACTCCTAATGAAATTGTAATGTTAATACAATTTCAAATAAATCAACTATTTCTTTTTCTTTCCCTGAAGGCTTTCTATCAACAATTCCTGTATTCCAGAATCCTGCCTCTGCAGTATTAACACTGCAAGAAAACTCTCTTTGGCTCAGATATTCAGTAATTAAATAGTCCTAGCATTTAAATTAATCAAATTGGATTATATACACAAGCATACAAGATTCAAAGATAATGACAAGTTTTCTACTACGCATTTTGAACTTCACACTTAAACCTTAGTCTTGATTCAGTTTGCAGTATGCCTTGCAAAGCAATGTTTTTCCTTCTTTAAAACTCCCCCAAGATATATTTACACTTGAGGTCTTTTAAATATATTTCCTATTTAAGGTAATATATAATATTTCAAATTATGGCTGCATAATAAACAACCTCTCAAATAATTTACATGACCATTGTCATTTGAAGACTGTAGTTATACCAGTGACAGTGTCTGAACCTAAGTTGGCAGCATATTTGAGTCTAATCTTGTAACAAACTTAAAGAAAATTACGTATTTAGCTAGAACACCAACATTTGTGCCTTTCCTGATTCACTCATATGCAGAGCTTTGTGAAATTGCTTCTACTGTGGCACAGTCCCAATCATACATAACACCGACACTGAACACTTTAAACACTGAGAACTCAATTATCACCCAAAAATTACAAATGACACCAAGAGTATTTTCAAAAAGTACCTGTAGACACAACATTGGTGGTATGGTTGGAGACCTGCAGGCACTCTGCAGCGCTGTGATGCATTATCAGAGGCAGAGAGGGAGAAGAGTCAGAATTCAAGGGCACAAAGGTGTCTGAGGAAGCAAATGCTTGGCAGCTCATACCCTCCTAGAGGCGAGAGAGCTGCCTGTCCCGTGTTCTACCAGAGCAGATCCTGCAGGATTAATGGCACCTCAAACTCTATTCCAGGATTTTACCTGGATATACCCACAGAGGAGGGCTCCGGAGCACAGGGACGTCGTGTGCAGGTATTTATACCACTAGGAAATCCCTTTATCCATTTTAATGCTCTTTTCCCAGCAATATTGCTACCCTGGTACAGAGCCTCCTTCCTTCCCACACAAACACAATACGTGTCCAATTAATGGAGGGGCGGGGGAAGAAGAGGGAAACCAGAGACATGATTTGACAGATATTTTCAATTAGGTCTTTTGTGGAGGACAATGACCAGGGAAAAAAATTAAAATATCGTCTCCAAAGTCGGTGGCAACAGACAAGTGAGTTTAATACTAAGTAAGTTTCCACAGTTAACACCTGCCTCCAAAATCTCATCCAGGCAATTGTCTGGAAGGCAACCTGTCTGAGAACTCAAACAGAAGTCTGTAATAGTCAAGAACCTATAGCAAAATAATCTGAATTAACCTAATTCCCAACAGTTGCATGGTGATCATTTGTCTTGACCTATACCAATATTAAATCAGAGCTGTGTAATATAAAGCAGCTGTAGCCAGAAGGAAGTTTTTGAGCAGATAGCTTTCCATAAGCATGATGTGCTAAATGTTTATCTAAGATGAGCTCTTGAGAGAGTCCATGGTGTCCCTTAAAACTCATTCACAGCTCCTCTTATTAGTTTATACTACCACAGAATATGAAGTCTTCTTCAGAAGATCCTAAGTAAAATCAGAATCCTTACTCAAAGAAGAAAAGTGGTTTTTTTGAAATGAAACTGGAATAATTTTGGATCATCAGAGAGCATACAGGTTACCCTAAAAATGATTAAAAATTCTGCAGTACACCATAGTCACATACATATTCAATATAGATACAATAATTTGAGCTTGGTTTGGTTTTTGCTACCAAAGATATTTGGTCATATTTTATGTGAAGATGACAATATTTTTTCTGTGTTTCATATTCTAAACTGGGTTAAATGTCTGAACTAGAATTTTGACAATAGCAACTTCAGATACATGAGATGGGAGCAATCATACTTACATTTTTCATGTGTTACTGCAGAAAAGTGGCATTGCATGGAGCCATTCTGTAGAGTCCTTTAAGTGTGCTTTGGGAAAGGCTGTGTTTAAGATTGTGAAAAAATTTCAAAATTACTGCATATGGCAAACTGCACATGTCTTTAACAGTGGTTATTTGCTACTTATACAGGCACTTTCAGATTACAAAATATACAAGAAGCGTCAAAATAATTATTGCAATATTATGGAAGATACTGTCATCTAATGAACCCCATCTGCATTACTTTGGGCTTGGCTCAATGTATCCTAATGTCTGTGGATTCATATTCAAAAATTATTTTAGTTATTTTCACCTCCTCTTCCCCCTCAGCAAGGGGCAGGATAAATCTAACAGGGGGTCTCCTCCACATACCAGAGTTTTGAAGCCATGGGAGAAAAAGAATAACTTTACATCCCTGTGTCTGACAATTTTTTCCTCAAATCCCAACAGGTATCACTGTAGACAGCCATTCAGTACACAGAAAATTTACAGTTTCACTGGAAACTCATGTCTAGATGCAAAGAAGTTGCAGCCTGTCCCCAAGTACAGGATGGAGCTCACGTCCAGATTTCCCTTTCTTGCCCAGGTCAGGAGAAGCTTGCCCAGCTTTGCTCAGGTGCTCAGGCTTTTCAGACCTATGGGGTTCATTAGAGGGGGTGCTCGTGAGTTCATGAATGTCACTCACCCACAAAACATGCAACTGATTGGGAATGGGAAAGTAAATTCAGTCAGGAGTCACAAGGCACTGGAATTTCCTTCAGAGTGCAGTATAAAGGTGCTCTGTGTCAGCATTCCAGACACCACCTCAAATGAGTTTTTTCATGCCCTGGCTATTCATTATTGTGTTTTATAGTGCTGAATGAAAAAACTCTAATTTTTTGTGTTTGTGCTATATTGCCTACTTTTTGCTAATAACTTCACTATTTTTCATTTTGATTATGACCAAATTTCTTTAATTGCATTCAGTTTCAAATAAAGGTTTTTTGCATTATATCTGAGGATCCTGGAAAGATGGATTGTTACCAATTCTAGTTACTGGAAAAATTTCACATTCTTCAGAGCTCATTTCTAATACAAGTAGCACCTCTCATAAAGCTTTGTTACCACCCTCCCCAGATACTGTGCTAAGGCTGCAGATTGCCTGACCCAAAGTTACCCTATATTGTGATTTCTTGGTCAGTTTTAAGACTGCTTCACAGCACACAGTTGAGCTGAAAGCTTCTGGCAGGAATTTCAGGCCACTGACTGAAAGAGGTCATTCCTTCTCTACACTTACAAGTGCTCTCAAAATTTCAGTGGGAGTTTTCTGCCCTGAAACCCAGACCCCATTCTCCATTTGGATGGTGGCATGATGCTGGTAAATGTCACAGTGAATCTCATCTGCTTCCTGCTGAATCCTCAGTTAAACTGGCCTTTTGGGGGGCAATTACTTCTATAAGGAGGATGGGGGGAAATGAATATTTATTGGATAATTCTGAGCTTACCTTAATGTCTTTCCTTAGGTTGAACTCCGATCCTTATTCCATGTCAGTAGTCTGATTCTTTGCTCCATAAATCTCTTCTGATTGAATTCCAAAATAATGAAGAAAGCCATCAAAAACCCATTGAGGGTTTTTAAGACAGCATGAAACTGACTGTTTTAGTGGCAAAATGATCCCTTCATGTGGTTTTCTTAGCTCAGAAATAGCATCTCATTGCAAGATCTCAGGTCTGGCCATGAGACAGGCAGGGAAACATCATCATTTTCCTCCACAGGAGCACAGCATTTCCCTTCCCAAGAGATGATTCCATGCTGGTCAACAACATGGATTTCCAGCCTCATCTTTGCCAAGAAACACAAAATGACAAAAAAATCTGGCACAGTGCAAGTCTTGGCAGCATCTTTGATTCATTCACTCCTTTTCCCAGGTCTCCAAGCCCTTTTGTAGATAAATTGAAAACTATAAGGCTTGTTCAGATAAAGAGCTTGAAAAGGTGGACGTCTCTACAAGCCTAATCACTTATGACAGTCCTGCAGCTGAAATATATCCCACTGAAACAGTCACTCACTTATACATTTACACTCTGGAGAGAAGTGTGTATGTCTATCTATCTATCCCAATAATGCATCTCAGAGAACTTGTGGTTCTTTGGGAAGTGAGCTTCATTTTTGCCTTCACTGCACATGGAGAGGGTGAACTTCAACTCTGTTTTTCCTGAATAATACTGCAATTTGCATCCTGTCACCCTGTACACTTTTGTACAATGTGTAAATATTTGTGTCACATTTCATTTTATTCAGAATACTGAAATTCCCAGGTTTTAACTCCATCATAATTCTATGGTTATTTTTTATTGAGTTGGTAAAAACCGTAAAACTGCTCTAGAGATCTGCACATTTACCCAATTCTTCCCCTTGTTTTTCTTGTGCAGAAAGTTCTTGAACTGGAATGATCATGCTCATTGTTATTGAAACCACCACAAGGCAGAGGGATATCACAGATCCATGTTGTACTTCCCACACTGTAAATGAAAAAGACGTCTCTAAGTGCATAACACTGTGCATGGAGAAAGAAAAAAAATCTCTTTTCTTAGGTAAGACACAAACTGACTCACAAACTGTCAGTGTATGCCACGGATAGTTTCATTCACAACGGATGGAAGTAGGGAGGGTGGATTAAACATTTTCAAGGAAGACACTTTCCCAGGGAGCAGCACAATGCAATTTGCTTTTAAAAACCTATAGAAAGCTTATCCAGTCTTGCTGCCAAAGTCTGGCTCACTGGAGTCTGAGTAGAACACATGTGCAATTGCATTAGAGCAAACAAAAGCCTTAAAGCCTGATTTAGACTGAGTGGGACTACTTGCTAAAGACCAAAAGGAATGTAAGATTAGTTGTTTCTCTGAGCCACCTGTCCTTAACTTCAGATCACCTCTGCAGAAAAGAGGCCCCTGAACATGCAGCACAGACATGATCTGTTATCTGCAGGGAAAGGTGGTGTTCCCACGGCTCTCAAACAACCTGAGCCAGGGCAGCAGCTCCCATCATAAAATACAGTTAAACTTAGCTATAAGAGCTACAACCTGAAATAACAGATACCAATTCCACTGCTTTTCTTCATGCTCCCAGTCAGACTGGTGGTCCTCAAAATTTTTCACATTGCAAATATACTGGTGGAGACCCTGGCACTTAATGGAAATGATCCAATCTCATTCCAGCCTTATTCTAGTGAAAAGCAGGGTGGGATCATAACTGCAAACAGTAATGATTGGGACCAGACAGGGGACCCATACTAGGAATGAGTTAGGTCAAGTAAGTGGGAAAAAAAAATCAACTTGCACTCAACAACTTTAAAGCATTTAGAAAATATTACTACTGACAATGATTTCACATTTGTTAAAGGCCAAGTTTAAAACTCACATGTATTACAATTAAGTTTGTACAAACATTTTCAGTTTTTTCAGGACGACATAAAAACAACTTCAGTAGCAAAAGTCTTTTCCTCCCACGGTTTCCTTTGGAAAATCAGAACTCTTCTACAGAGAGAAAGAAATGTATATACCTAGTTATGAATTTTAATCCACATAATGCTATTTCTAGAAATCTAACTTTTCAGGGAGTGCTTTTATTCTTCTCCAAGTGGCTTCTTTCCATTTTTTTATGTCATTTCAGAAAGGGGATCTGTAATTTCAGGAAGTTTTCATCATGCTACAGTAGCCAAAGCATTAATTCTTTCCCAGTTTTGCTTGTAAAGGCAAAAGTCAAACATTGCTTTCACAAAGCTTTGGTAAATATTCCTGTACACAGAATGCAGTGCAAATGGTGCTTTGAATCTTGCACATGCAAGATTTAAGGTCCCTTCACCTAACATAAAATGGAGCAAAATATGCATCCCCTGCTTCTGCGTTTATGCTTTCAGTAGCAGAACATT